ATATATATATATATATGTATATGTATGTATGTATGTATGTATGTATGTATGTATGTATGTATGTATGTATGTATGAATGTATGAATGTATGTATGTATGTATGTATGTATGTATATATGTATGTATGTATGTATGTATATGTATATATGTATGTATACAGTATACATATACATATACATATATATACATATATATACATATATATACATATATATATATATAAATGAGAGGGGGGAGTATGTTATTATATTACTTACAGTTGGAAAGAGATACAAAGAGAAGTAATATTATATTCGGTAGCCTGAACGCCTAAAAGCGGCCTAGCTTTTTATTAAGCTCACAGCTGAAGACGTAGAGATCGACCCATAACGTGAAAAAAAGAAAGACCATGATTATATATATATATATATATATATATATATATATATATATATATATATATATATATATATATATATATATACCTATACATATATATAAAAAGTACCATCAACGTTAATCTCGATAGAGCGAATTTTAGATTATCAAAGAGAGAGAACAACCGCACGTAGCGAATTCGGCGACGAAACATAACGTGAGGAAACATACCATACGATCTATTGATACTCGTATACACGTGTGACGATACGATGATTGTCACATTTTTGTATGGTCCTGACATTGATAGAGCGAGGAGGACGATCCACGGTCTTACAGCTTACGCCCCGTATCGCGGCGTCACGGTTTCACGCACGGTTGACAGCTATTACGTTTATTAATCCTTCCAAAGACGAATTCTATGTCTACCTGTCATCTTACCCGCCACCAACAGCGCAGCGCTGTTGCTCTCGTGTGCTTGATTATATTCCAGAATCCGCGAATTCACGCTATGTGCGCCACTCTGATTCCTCGCGCTCGCGACGAAAGGCCTCGAGAGCCACGCTCGTATACCCGAAGGCAGCGTTCGAGAGTCGATGATCGAAGGTCCGTCTCTAGTGTCTCTGTCATGGGTCTCGCGAGATCGGCGATCTGCGGCGCGATCGAGGCAACCCCGAGAGAATGTTGGTATACGCAATTTGAGAATTAATACGTCAGTGTTAATTTCTTATTAAAGGCCAGACTTGTGGGCCGAATTTCCGCGCGTGCTTGACGATAGTGACACTCGATCTCGTGTCGAACGTAGATTCTCCTTTGCATAAGGCGTGCACGAGACGCGTCCAGCGACGGTAAGCAGTTGAAGTACAAAATTAAGTTAATTGAACAAAATACAATGTAAAAGATATCAATATCTCTGATATCAAATCGATATATCTTAGAAGGGGAGACCTATAAGAGTTATACATAACAATCTTATAGGACTTCCGTTCTAAGATATGTTAAGTTAATTGAGGCACAGAGAGAGAAAGAGAAACAGGGAGAGGAGAGGAAGAAGGAGATCGTGCAGATAGTTTGGTAGCTATTATATGGTTTATAGAAAGCGAATGACGAGTAGCGACGATCTTGACAAGAATGCAATCTTCCCGAAGTACTGGTCACTAATTAGAACGACGTTGGCCCTTTTTCGCGACGAAACTTTCAGTGTTACGCCGGGAGGAAGAGCGCCGCGTGCTATGTTTAAATGCATTTCTTTTGTTTTCGCGGGATTTCGTTACCGAGCGTGGCCG